TGTATATCAGTATGTAGTGTCTCTACTTTAAAGAGTCCTCTCCTGCTGATGTTCAGGTGTATCAGTATGTAGTGTCTCTACTTTAAAGAGTCCTCTCCTGCTGATGTTTCAGGTGTATATCAGTATGTAGTGTCTCTACTTTAAAGAGTCCTCTCCTGCTGATGTTCAGGTGTATATCAGTATGTAGTGTCTCTACTTTAAAGAGTCCTCTCCTGCTGATGTTCAGGGGTATATCATCTGTAGTGTCTCTACTTTAAAGAGTCCTCTCCTGCTGATGTTCAGGTGTATATTCATATGTAGTGTCTCACTTTAAAGAGTCCTCTCCTGCTGATGTTCAGGTGTATATCAGTATGTAGTGTCTCTACTTTAAAGAGTCCTCTCCTGCTGATGTTCAGGTGTATATCAGTATGTAGTGTCTCTACTTTAAAGAGTCCTCTCCTGCTGATGTTCAGGTGTATATCAGTATGTAGTGTCTCTACTTTAAAGAGTCCTCTCCTGCTGATGTTCAGGTGTATATCAGTATGTAGTGTCTCTAGTTTAAGAGTCCTCTCCTGCTGATGTTTTAGGTGTATATCAGTATGTAGTGTATCTACTTTAAAGAGTCCTCTCCTGCTGATGTTCAGGTGTATATCAGTATGTAGTGTCTCTACTTTAAAGAGTCCTCTCCTGCTGATGTTCAGGTGTATATCAGTATTGTCTCTACTTTAAAGAGTCCTCTCCTGCTGATGTTCAGGTGTATATCAGTATGTAGTGCTCTACTTTTAAAGAGTCCTCTCCTGCTGATTCAGGTGTATATCAGTATCAGTGTCTCTACTTTAAAGAGTCCTCTCCTGCTGATGTTCAGGTGTATATCAGTATGCAGTGTCTCTACTTTAAAGAGTCCTCTCCTGCTGATGTTCAGGTGTATATCAGTATGTAGTGTCTCTACTTTAAAGAGTCCTCTCCTGCTGATGTTCAGGTGTATATCAGTATGTAGTGTCTCTACTTTAAAGAGTCCTCTCCTGCTGATGATCAGGTGTATATCAGTGTATGTGTCTCTCTACTTTAAAGAGTCCTCTCCTGCTGATGTTCAGGTGTATATCAGTATGTAGTGTCTCTACTTTAAAGAGTCCTCTCCTGCTGATGTTCAGGTGTATATCAGTATGTATTCTCTACTTTAAAGAGTCCTCTCCTGCTGATGTTCAGGTGTGTATCAGTATGTAGTGTCTCTACTTTAAAGAGTCCTCTCCTGCTGATGTTCAGGTGTATATCAGTATGTAGTGTCTCTACTTTAAAGAGTCCTCTCCTGCTGATGTTCAGGTGTATATCAGTATGTAGTGTCTCTACTTTAAAGAGTCCTCTCCTGCTGATGTTCAGGTGTATATCAGTGTAGTGTCTCTACTTTAAAGAGTCCTCTCCGGCTGCTGTTCAGGTGTATATCAGTATGTAGTGTCTCTACTTTAAAGAGTCCTCTCCTGCTGATGTTCAGGTGTATATCAGTATGTAGTGTCTCTACTTTAAAGAGTCCTCTCCTGCTGATGTTCAGGTGTATATCAGTATGTAGTGTCTCTACTTTAAAGAGTCCTCTCCTGCTGATGTTCAGGTGTATATCAGTATGTAGTGTCTCTACTTTAAAGAGTCCTCTCCTGCTGATGTTCAGGTGTATATCAGTATGTAGTGTCCTACTTTAAAGAGTCCTCTCCTGCTGATGTTCAGGTGTATATCAGTATGTAGTGTCTCTACTTTAAAGAGTCCTCTCCTGCTGATGTTCAGTGTATATCAGTATGTAGTGTCTCTACTTTAAAGAGTCCTCTCCTGCTGATGTTCAGGTGTATATCAGTATGTAGTGTCTCTACTTTAAAGAGTCCTCTCCTGCTGATGTTCAGGTGTATATCAGTATGTAGTGTCTCTACTTTAAAGAGTCCTCTCCTGCTGATGTTCAGGTGTATATCAGTATGTAGTGTCTCTACTTTAAAGAGTCCTCTCCTGCTGATGTTCAGGTGTATATCAGTATGTAGTGTCTCTACTTTAAAGAGTCCTCTCCTGCTGATGTTCAGGTGTATATCAGTATGTAGTTCTCTACTTTAAAGAGTCCTGTCCTGCTGATGTTCAGGTGTATATCAGTATGTAGTGTCTCTACTTTAAAGAGTCCTCTCCTGCTGATGTTCAGGTGTATATCAGTATGTATGTCTCTACTTTAAAGAGTCCTCTCCTGCTGATGTTCAGGTGTATATCAGTATGTAGTGTCTCTACTTTAAAGAGTCCTCTCCTGCTGATGTTCAGGTGTATATCAGTATGTAGTGTCTCTACTTTAAAGAGTCCTCTCCTGCTGATGTTCAGGTGTATATCAGTATGTAGTGTCTCTACTTTAAAGAGTCCTCTCCTGCTGATGTTCAGTGTATATCAGTATGTAGTGTCTCTACTTTAAAGAGTCCTCTCCTGCTGATGTTCAGTGTATATCAGTATGTAGTGTCTCCTTTAAAGAGTCCTCTCCTGCTGATGTTTCAGGTGTATATCAGTATGTAGTGTCTCTACTTTAAAGAGTCCTCTCCTGCTGATGTTCAGATGTATATCAGTATGTAGTGTCTCTACTTTAAAGAGTCCTCTCCTGCTGATGTTCAGGTGTATATCAGTATGTAGTGTCTCTACTTTAAAGAGTCCTCTCCTGCTGATGTTCAGGTGTATATCAGTATGTAGTGTCTCTACTTTAAAGAGTCCTCTCCTGCTGATGTTCAGTGTATATCAGTATGTAGTGTCTCTACTTAAAGAGTCCTCTCCTGCTGATGTTCAGGTGTATATCAGTATGTAGTGTCCTCTACCTGTGACATGTCTGTCTCTGATTGTTATCTGGCTGGCTCTGTTGTTATTGGTCAACATCTTAGAGATGTCCCCCTCATGGAATCATGTTTTTAATATTGCTGTTTTAAATCTAATTGTTTTCCACAATCACATCTTAAATCGACCGATGAATAGGGTCATAATAACCGTGCACTAACTCTGGTGTCAGTGTGCAGTAGCCTCTGTGGTTGAGATGGGGATGCTGGTTCCGCTGCCTGGATCTGATCCGGTCCGGAGACTCCAGCGCTCAGAGCCACTCCTGCGGCCTGCGTCGTCCTCCTCGCCTCCTCAGGTGGGTGCAGAAGGATTTAAGGTCTTTAAATGTTTAATAATTATTATTCTCTCGGTGTCTGGCTGTTACATATTTGTACAGATATCTTTATTGTGGGAAGCAGTATTTCAATCTCTCTGTCTGTACACACAAACTGAAAGATGACAATAAAGTTCACTTTGAACTTTTGAAAGTTTCACATGTTTTTTGGTGCAGAGTCGAACAGAGAGGCTGTCATGTGGAGGGAGTGAAGCCTCTGCTGCTTTAGCCAAATCCTACGACTCTCGAGAGCAGCAGGTGGCCTCCTGGGCTCTGCTGCACCTCACACACTCAGGTGGGTCACTTCCTTTAAAGGTCCCCTATTATACTGTTTTTCATCAATATATTATAGGTCTCAGATATATACAGAGCCTGTCTCTGATTGGCTGAAACACCAAACAGATCATTGTAGCATTACCCATAATCCCCTCTGTTTCAGCCCTGTTTCAAAAGTGCTGATTCTCTGTCTGTTACTTCAGATGAAAATAAGGAGCCCCTCCCCACGCCCCTCTGAGAGACATTTGGTTACAAAGAACTCAATGGAGCTCTAGGAGGAGATTCAGGTGACAAGGGGGGGGGGGGGGGGTTACCTTGGTGCTGATTGGCTAATGGTTACACAAGACCAAACATCGTTATGACATCACAAAGTGGCCAAAATCTGATCAGCTCATTTTCAGACAGGTTTTTATAGAAATGGATCAAAAAGAGAGAGAATCTTTATTCCTGAAACTTTCAGAGTCTCTTTCCACAGAGGGGACACATGTTGATGTAAGAGACATGAAGAAGAGGGACACATGTTGATGTAGAAGAGACATGAAGAAGAGGGACACATGTTGATGTAGAAGAGACATGAGAAGAGGGGACACATGTTGATGTAGAAGAGACATGAAGAAGAGGACACATGTTGATGTAGAAGAGACATGAAGAAGAGGGGACACATGTTGATGTAGAAGAGACATGAAGAAGAGGGGACACATGTTGATGTAGAAGAGACTGAAGAAGAGGGGACACATGTTGATGTAGAAGAGACATGAAGAAGAGGGGACACATGTTGATGTAGAAGAGACATGAAGAAGAGGGACACATGTTGATGTAGAAGAGACATGAAGAAGAGGGGACACATGTTGATGTAGAAGAGACATGAGAAGAGGGGACACATGTTGATGTAGAAGAGACATGAAGAAGAGGGACACATGTTGATGTAGAAGAGACATGAAGAAGAGGGACACATGTTGATGAGAAGAGACATGAAGAAGAGGGGACACATGTTGATGTAGAAGAGACATGAAGAAGAGGGGACACATGTTGATGTAGAAGAGACATGAGAAGAGGGGACACATGTTGATGTAGAAGAGACATGAAGAAGAGGGACACATGTTGATGTAGAAGAGACGAAGAAGAGGGGACACATGTTGATGTAAAGAGACATGAAGAAGAGGGGACACATGTTGATGTAGAAGAGACATGAAGAAGAGGGGACACATGTTGATGTAGAAGAGACATGGAGAAGAGGGGACACATGTTGATGTAGAAGAGACATGAAGAAGAGGGGACACATGTTGATGTAGAAGAGACATGAAGAAGAGGGGACACATGTTGATGTAGAAGAGACATGAAGAAGAGGGGACACATGTTGATGTAGAAGAGACATGAAGAAGAGGGGACACATGTTGATGTAGAAGAGAAGAAGAGGGGACACATGTTGATGTAGAAGAGACATGAAGAAGAGGGGACACATGTTGATGTAGAAGACATGAGAAGAGGGGACACATGTTGATGTAGAAGAGACATGAAGAAGAGGGGACACATGTTGATGTAGAAGAGACATGAAGAAGAGGGGACACATGTTGATGTAGAAGAGACATGAAGAAGAGGATTTTGCATAATAGGTGACCTTTTAATCCTCACAGATTTAACAAAAGCAGATGTGTTTTTCTGTTGTTGCTCCTCTCTCTCTCTTCCTCCAGATTGGTCCAGGAGGCTGCTGGGTGATGCGGGGGGGTTCCCGGTTCTGGTTCTGCTGCTGCAGGGCTCAGACTCAGAGGTCCAGTTCTACAGCTGCTCCGCCCTCTGCAACATCTCTTCTGCTCGGGAGCTCCACCGGAAGCTGCTGAGCATCGGGAGTCACTTCCTGTTGAAGTCCCTGCTGACGCTCGCCTCCTCCTCCGTGCAAAAGGTAACGTTGTAAAGCACCGCAAAATACACCCCCTTATAGGTTACCAGGGCCATGAGAACATCCGGTACAGGAGGGTGCTGCTGCTGTGAATAAGGCCGACTATGGAGTCCGATGAGCGGACTGTAAAGCACCGCAAAATACACCTCCTTCCTGATTACAATTGGCAAGTCTTATGTATATCTGTAAATGATATACTATCATATGTATATACAGTATATTATAAGCCTTTATTCCTGCTACTGCAACATGTTTATAAATGGTGTTTTGTTGTTGTTTAGAAGTCGATGCAGGCGTGCAGATGCCTTCAGACTCTCTCACAGAATGGTACATATGTTCCCATTACACTTTGCTGATGCCTTTATCCATTTAAATAACAATAAGTGCATGTAACCATGAAGATGCAAACTCAAAAAGTGTCTATACTAGATGTGAGAAAATGAATATAAATACATTTTTACCACTGAAGATAGTACTTGTGTATTTTAACTAAAGTAACTTTTGTAATGTCCCATAATATGTGTATTAGCGTGGACTGTGTGTTGTTGTGTGGAGGGTTTTTCCAGCAAGGCAAGTTTATTTATAAAGCACCTTTCAACACAAGGCAATTCAAAGCGCCCTCCAAAAAAACAAAACAAGCTAATATAGAATAACACAGATATTAAATACATGGATACAAGTTACAGTGCAGTGTAAGATATGAATAGTTCAATTATAAGCAGCGTCAAAAAGAAAAGTCTTCATCCTGGATTTAAAAGTACTCAGTGTTTCAGCAGACCTGCAGGTTTCTGGGAGTTTGTTCCAGATATTTGGAGCATAATAACTGAACTCCTCCATGTTTGGTTCTGACTCTGGGGACAGAAAAGTGCACCGTACTTTAACAACAAACTCCTCCTAGGGATTTTATCCAATCGTCTTCAAATCTTGACAGTAGCATCTCAAGACCTGGCAGATGAAAAGTTAGTGGCGCCCATTTTGACTCTCGCCTGATGGCTATGTGATCCCTTTCCATGGAAGGTGATTATCTCCTAGCGCCAGCTGACAGGCTCCAAACGGCCCAAACGTCACATGATGGTTAATGCTTCGGCCCCGAACAGCTCATCTCCAAATCTGAGGGGCCGAAACACGATATTGCTGTGACACCAATGGTGTCGACAGTCTTTACGTTTGGTGTCAATCATGATGAAGTCCAAGCTCTGTAACATGAATGGCATGTCCCCCAAAGAGTTTATGGAGATCAGAAACAGTCATAATTGTCTATGATAAACTGTGTAGCCATAATAGAGGCACTCAGAGACTTAACGTCCCCTTTAAACCCACCGTATGTAATCCCACAGCCGTGACAGCATACAATAATGTACTGTATTATAAACACTTTGTAATCTAGAGCCTTGGCTATTAATCATAATATTATAATATCATATTTTCCAGTGTTCCCTAAGTGATCAACTTAAGTAGAAAATAAAAGTACTTAAGTTTTTCCATCTTATTCATCTTTATACTTTTCTAAATCACTTCATCTCACAGGTCAATATTTTACTTTTTACTCAGTTACGTTTTTCTTACAGCTTTAGTGACTTCTTTTAGATATACTGTACACTTTGTACTAACCCTAACCTTAACCCCATCCATACCATAATTAGGTGATTTTAAATGTGAGTTTTCATTAACTTGTGTCCGTTAATGGGTTTAGAAATCTTCCTACTTCTCAAGATAAATAAACTATTTGTTAGTGAAACCCTGACAGCGAGGATTTTTTACCAAAGTTTTGCAGATAATAATTACGCATTTCTATTTAAGTGAGGTTTTAAATGTTTGTGTTGTTGAATTAAAAGCACATCACATAAGGCATATATACATTTTCAGTTTTTATTTGACTCTATTGAGGTGAGTGACACCATGTTTCAGTCAATACAATTACATGTTCCGCTCTTCACCTACACATTCTGAGTATTACAGTCCCAGAATATTTGACCAGCTTCTATGAACACATTTAAAAAATGTAAACATATATAATGGAATTGAATGTGTACAGTGAGACAAATATAAAAACACAATTTTATATTTCATACCATGGGTTGTTTTATTTATGAAAGTGTTGATTAAACATACAATGAATAAGTACTTTAGTAACCAAAATGTGATACAGTAAATCATGTATACTGTATATGTTTACACAGTGAGGCACACGCATACACAAATAGATTTGAATTTTAATTTAATTTTTAAATCAAATCTTTCTAATCCTAATTGTATCAGGAAAATGAGTTGCGGGCAAACCTGAGCTCCAGGAGAAAACCCAAAAGTGGAAGCGGGGTACGGTGGCCCTGAAGTGCAAGTCAAAACAACATTTCACAAAACACTTCAACATTTCACATTTTACGGAAAGGGTATTCCTTTAAGGAGAACACTTCTTGTTTGTGATTGGACAGAGCCAGCCAGAGAAGAACTGCTGTGATTGGTTGTTTTTGCTGCCAGTCAAGAAATGATGCTTCGTGATTGGTCAGCACCCGGCCGACAGCACCACGTACTTCCTGTTTGGTACTGTTCAGCTGTTTCTTCACAAATTGTAAACTGAGTTGGAAAGAATGGAAGAAGAGATGAACGAAGGATATACATACGATGTTATCCTCGACATGCTGTCAACCCATCACGACATCTACATGTCCCTTAGAACCAGGGGTGTAGTGCTGCCGGATCGCCGCTCCGGTTGTTAGCATCTGGTTAGCTAGCTATGCCAACGTACATAAGGAGTTGTTTCTACAACAAGGTGGAGGAGAGTCCTCTCCTGTCAGACTGAGAGGATCTTATAACTACAGCTCAGTAATAATATTAATAATACATTTGATTTATATAGCACACTTTAAACATAAAAGGATCAAATAAATAAAGTCAGTGAGGTGTCCTCAGTCCTAACTCTTTAAACCGCGCTTTCAGGGTTCTAAGCAGGGGTGTCGTGCTATTTTTATAATTGCAGGAGCGCACCAACAAAACAGCAACATATGGACATAGGTTACTACATCAAAAGTGTGCAAATGTATTTAGAATCCTGTCCATGTGACCCTTTTGTTAGTGGGTGGTGGACCTCACATCCTCTAGGGGGGTCCGGGGGCATGCTCCCCCGGGAAGATGATTTTTTTAAAGTTGAAGTTAAATTCAATCTGGTGCACTTTGAGAGCAAAGTTAGGGACTAAATCTATGGATACATCTCTCAACAACACCCATGTGAAACAGTACTGTAACCAGAAGTACTTTTTCTTAAGCATATCTTACTAATCACTCCCCTTTTAAACTGTATTTTAGTTTTACTGTCCTATAGAATGAGTTGGAATTATTTCATACCTATTTATTCTCTTATTTTTTATAATGATAATAAAAAGGTGTGCTTTGGAAATACTTGTTTACATAAATGGTGACCAAACCGTTTGAGACCCACTGAGATAGCTTAGACTAAAGTTATCTATCTAAACACTCAGAGAGTCCTTTAGCTCACTGAGCTGTAGTTATAAGATCCTCTCAGTCTGACAGGAGAGGACTCTCCTCCACCTTGTTGTAGAAACAACTGCTTATGTACGTTAGCATAGCTAGCTAACCAGATGTTAACAACCGGTAAAGCGGTGCTCCGGCAGCTGTGACTACCTGATTTGCATCTCTGCCCGATTTGCATTGCGCAAGCGCAAGATGGTCCACCATATTGGACAGCTACATACGGCAACCCAAATAGGACATTTGTTTCGCGAAGCAGACATTTAAAAAAACAAAAACCCGACAACATTAATCTGAACGAGAGAGAGAGTTATTGTTATTACAACGTGACTTCACTATTATTTAACAAATACTTTTATTGGGTTGATTACATTCTTAGAATAAGTGAGAAATTGATTTATCTTCTGTTAGACAGTTATCATACTGAAGAAATATTTACTGTGAATGTATGCAAAAATGTTTGGCATTAATAATTTATATGTAATTACATTAACTATGAATGTTAACATTTTATTTCAAATTAAATACAATTACATAAAAGATTTTCCATTTAAAAAAAAAAAAAGTTGATTCAAGAACACATCTCTGTTAGATCAGTAGTTTTCCTATATTACAATTATTGCTAAATTTTAAAAGTCTTTACCAGCTTTGGAATTATATATATATATCATTGAGATTAATGTTGTCAGGTTTTTTTAGTAATCTTTTTCTGCTTTGCCAAACGCCACTGTCAAGGGTCCTATTTGGGTTGCCGTATGTAGCTGTCCAATATGGCGGACCATCTCGCGCTTGCGCAATGCAAATCGGGCAAAGATGCAAATGGGGTAGTCACAAGCACTACACCCCTGGTTCTAAGGGACATGTAGATGTCGTGATGGGTTGACAGCATGTCGAGGATAACATCGTATGTATATCCTTCGTTCATCTCTTCTTCCATTCTTTCCAACTCAGTTTACAATTCGTGAAGAAACAGCTGACCAGTACCAAACAGGAAGTACGTGGTGCTGTCGGCCGGGTGCTGACCAATCACGAAGCGTCATTTCTTAACTGGCAGCAAAAACAGCCAATCACAGCAGTGCTTCTCTGGCTGGCTCTGTCCAATCACAAACAACAAGTGTTCTCCTTAAAGGAATACCCGTTCTGTAAAATGTGAAATGCTGTAGTGTTTTCTGAAATGTTGTTTCGACTTGCACTTCAGGAACACTGTATGCGGGGGAAGATCCAACAATACATTACATTTATATAGCGCTTTTCTTGAATTCAAAGACGCTTTGGAGGGTGGAGTGAGGTGAGGGAAATGGAGGAGGGACTTATTGTTGATGTGTTTTTTTTAATCCTTATTAATATGGATTTCTGGAAAACCTGAGCTCCAGGAGAAAACCCTATCTGAGCAAAAAGTGAAGGAGGGAGGGAGGGGGTGAGGTAGGAGGAAGGAGGTGAGGGAAATGGAGGAGGGACTTATTGTTGATGTGTTTTTTTTAATCCTTATTAATATGGATTTCTGGAAAACCTGAGCTCCAGGAGAAAACCCTATCTGAGCAAAAAGTGAAGGAGGGAGGGGGTGAGGGAAATGGAGGAGGGACTTATTGTTGATGTGTTTTTTTTAATCCTTATTAATATGGATTTCTGGAAAACCTGAGCTCCAGGAGAAAACCCTATCTGAGCAAAAAGTGAAGGAGGGAGGGGGTGAGGGAAATGGAGGCAGGGAGTTACTGTTGTCCAGCTGGAGCTGAATCACCAGAAGCTTCCTCCATCTTCTCCATCTTCTCTGAGGAGGTGTTTGCAAGCGCAAGATGGTCCCGCCTTATTGGACTGCTACATACGGAACAAATAGGACATTTGTTTCGCAAAGCAGACATTTTGTTTCTTCCTCATCTCCTTCTCTTGCATCTTCCTTATCATTTTCTGCAAGACAACGTCTCTATCCTCAGTCTCCCCCCTTCTGTGAGAGAAGAAACCTCTGCTCTTATTCTTCATGTGAAGACAGAGGTCTTCCAGAAGTTTCTTTTCCTCCTCCATCTTTTTCTCAGTCGTTGCCCAGCTCAGTCTTCTCAGAGCCAGGTCGTCCCTCTGCTCCTCCACCTGTTTCAGTTGTGTCTCCGTCAGATGAAGCTTGGTCTCCATGCTCTGGTGTTTCTGGGCCAGGTTGTCCTTCTTCTGAGTTACCTCCTTTAATTTGGTCTCCACCAAATGAACCTTGGTCTCCCAGCTCTCCTGGTTCTGGGCCAGGTCTTTGGAGAGCTTCTTCTTCTGCTCTTCCAATTGGTTTTCCAACTGCTTGACATCCGTCTCCTTGCGTTGGACAAACTGCTCCCAGTTCAGCTGTTTTTCAGCCAGGTCTTTGGAGAACTTCTCCTCCTGCTCTCTCATCTGTTCTTTCAGCTGTTTGACGTCCGTCTCCCAGCCCAGGTTATTCTCGGCCTGGCGATCTTTCTCCTTTTCCACCTGCTTTAATTTAGCCTCCACCTGTTTGAACTCAGTCTCCAAGGTCAGGGTTACCTTGGCCATGTCGTTCTTTTCCTGAGTCACCTCATTTAGTGTTGTCTCCATCTGTTGCTTCTCAGTCTCCCAGGTGTGACTCTTATCGGCCAGGTCTTTAGAGAACTCTTCCTCTTGCCTTTTCAACTGGGCCTCCATCTGTAGGAATTCCGTCTCCAAGGTCTTGTTTCTACTGGCCTGGTAATTGTTCTTCTTCTCCACCTCTTTCAACTTCATCACCATCTCTTGCTTCTCACTCTCCCAGGTGAGAGTCTTTTCGGCCAGGCTCTTGGTGACATTTTCCTCGCATTGAAGGAGTTGTTCCTCTCTTCTCTGCAGCAGGTTTAAAGTCACCAGGTTGGCCTCGTTGTGTTGGTCTGAGAGCTTCTGTTTCTGTGTCTCATACCATGCCACTGTGTCTTCCAGCTGCTCTTTGTGTTGAAGCTCTGCAGCTTCCATCTTCTCCTCCAGACCGCTGTTTCTATCCTCCAAGATGGTCACACACTCAAGGAGTTCTTCCCCTTTTCTTATCAGCTCTTTCATGGTCTCCCCTTTCCTCATCCTCAGTTTGATGATCTCTGGGTCACACTGCAGGGGAACATCATTGTTCTCGCTGTCAGATGTCGCCTGGTCCTTCTCGTCCGAGACATTTCCTTTCTCTGCCTCATGCCTTGCCACAATTTGGTCCAGCTGCCTCTTGTGTTGGCATTCTGCATTTTTCAATATTCCCATTCAGACGTGAGATTTCTGCCTCATGCTCCATGATGGTGTCAACCAGCCTTTTGTTCTCTTTGTGGAGCCCTGAGTCCCTGTAGCTCAGGAGCTCCTCGAGACGTTTGACCTTGTCTTTTTGTTTGCGCATACTGTGGCAAAATGTCGTCCTCTCCTCCTGAAATGCCCCACGATACTCCTCCAGGCCGTTTATCTGGCCGTTTCTGCAGTGGACCTGCCTGTAAGCTCGATCCGCTTCAGCTCCATGGTCGAATGGCCTGGGGTTTCCCCTGTTGTTCTGGTGGCTTCTTCTATCCATGGCACCGTCTGTAGACTTGTGTTGTGCGTAGGTAGAATAATATATTTCTCTTTGGAAGAAGTGTTCTGTGTAGAAGTCTGCGAAGGTGGTCTGAATGCGTGTCACCACTTACAGCTCTGGAGGGAAGAGTGTGGAGTGAATGCACATCACAGCCCTTGCAGTCTTCCTTCAGACTCCTGTGACATCATCATGACATCACAGATCTCTTTGATCTTCTGTGACATCATCATGACATCACAGATCTCTTTGATCTTCTGTGACATCATCATGACATCACAGATCTCTTTGATCTTCTGTGACGGAACATTCATCAAAGCCAATGATGTCATCGCTTCAGTGTGTCATAAGTGATGTCACTGAAATAGTTTGGTTTAGACTTATGGTGTTGCCATGGAAACACAAACTCGCAATAATCATTATAAAAACAGAAACAGTACAAACTAAACAAAACAATAAACAACAATAAAACCCGATGTTGTCACAAGTGAAAAGTACATAGTCCAAACGTCACATGATAGTTAACGCTCCGGCCCTGAACAGCTCTACGTCAAATCTGATCATCTCATCATATTGCCACGGAAAGACGAACTCGCCATGAAGCACGATGTCGACGTAACTCAATGGTAAATGGTCCAAACACCACCAAACTTCAGATGGCCGTTAATGTTAGAGCCCTCAACTCCTCTCTGATAACGAGGCAGCCCTCCAGACATCTGAGCCAATTGTGAGTCTTCACCGCACGCCGTAGCCGTGATGTGGCGCCCATTTGGAGGCTCGCTTGATGGCTATGTGATGGAGCTGGACTGTGTGTTGTTGTGCGTAGATCTGATCCAGGAGCAGCTGATGGAGCTGGACTGTGTGTTGTTGTGTGTAGATCTGATCCAGGAGCAGCTGATGGATCCAGACTGTGTGTTGTTGTGTGTAGATCTGATCCAGGAGCAGCTGATGGATCCAAACTGTGTGTTGTTGTGTGTAGATCTGATCCAGGAGCAGCTGATGGATCCAGACTGTGTGTTGTTGTGTGTAGATCTGATCCAGGAGCAGCTGATGGATCCAGACTGTGTGTTGTGTGTGTAGATCTGATCCAGGAGCAGCTGATGGATCCAGACTGTGTGTTGTTGTGTGTAGATCTGATCCAGGAGCAGCTGATGGATCCAGACTGTGTGTTGTTGTGTGTAGATCTGATCCAGGAGCAGCTGATGGAGCTGGACTGTGTGTTGTTGGATGTAGATCTGATCCAGGAGCAGCTGATGGAGCTGGACTGTGTGTTGTTGTGCGTAGATCTGATCCAGGAGCAGCTGATGGAGCTGGACTGTGTGTTGTTGTGTGTAGATCTGATCCAGGAGCAGCTGATGGAGCTGGACTGTGTGTTGTTGTGTGTAGATCTGATCCAGGAGCAGCTGATGGAGCTGGACTGTGTGTTGCCTCTGCAGTCCCTGCTGAAGACATCCTCTGCTGAGTGGAGAGAGTCGGCCGTCACACTGCTCTCTGCGCTGACTTCACACACACCGAACCAAGTGAGGTTTCCTCCACAGCGGGATCATTATAATATTCATTGTTAAACATTAGTGGGTAGATCATGGTGTAGGAGCCAATTAACACGGTCACTATAAAGGCAGGAACCTATGTTTGTGGGTAGAGGTTCCGCCGGAAGGCCATACAGTTTTTGACCACACACGGAGAACACACACACACACACACACACACACTGAGAACACACACACACACACACGGAGAACACACACACACACACACACACGGAGAACACACACACACACACACAGAGAACACACACACACACGGAGAACACACACAAACACGGGATTACAAACATGGAAAAGGTATTGTGTGAACCGTAATATCGTGTACGGTGAATGAGAGAACGAAGCAAGTGAAATGGAAAGCAGTGAAAGGAAAAGCAAGGACTGTATCGAACTGGAAACTTTGTGTCAATTGCGCAACATAGCGGATCCTCAGAGGCTGAAAGCGTGGCTTGGCCTCTACACATGGGTTAATAACCACACAATGGGCTTCAGACGTGAACGCCTCCTACCTAACAAGAGCCACAGATTCAACACGTTTATACGATGTCTTTGTCGATGTTGGCGACCCCTTGTGGCGGTTTAGTGTCTCTTGTTTGTCATATTCTGTCTTTTCTGTTGTTTCTCTCTTTTTGGTCATTCTGTCTCTTTTTAGACTTCGTCTTTTTTGGTTGTGTTAGTAGACATGTGTCGCCTCTTTGTGACTTCTCGTTGTCTCATTTCGGTGGTTCTGCATCTCTTTGCAGTCGTTTTGTGTCTCTTGGACTTTTTAAATGTTGCATATCTTTGTAGAACATCGTCCTCTTAGAATCATATTCTCTATCGTTTGTTCTTTGATCTAGTTTTTGCATATTTTTTCGGCCATTCTGAATCTTTTTGTAGACATTTGTGTTTCCTATCATTTGTGTTGTCTGGTGCCTTGTTTCAGTCGCTGTAGTCGGAGTGTCTGTTCTGCATCCAGACATGTGGTTTTCCTAATGACTTGTGTCCCTTAGTGACTTACCAACAAGAAATGTGAGCAATAGCTTCAAGCAGAGGTCATTCCAAAGAACAAGGATATTTCTTTGCCGGACATTCCTTCCTTTTTCATGACCTTGAACTAGTAATCAGTCGATGTCCAATCAAAACCATTTGCTGCTCTGTTTTGATCCCAGGTTTGATAATATCTCCCTGGGTTGTTTGCAGGCCGTCCTGGTGAGCGAGGGTCTGCTGGAGGAAGTGGGTCAGCTGCTTCTTCATCCCACATGCAGCTCCGTCATCATCACACACAGCTGCAGGATCATCACTGACCTGAGCAGCTGCAGCGAGGGTCAGCAGGTCAAACTCATGATTTAACGCCTGCAGTAAAAAGACACAACGCGCCTGAGTATAATCCGTCTTTGTTATCCAGGCTGTGATGGAGGCTCGCTGTTTGTCAGGACTCCTCGGCGCTCTTCTGTCTCCGTCTCTGACTGATGACACTTTAATACATCTGACGTCATGCTTGCAAAACCTCATGACACAACGTGAGGGACCTGGACTCAAACTAGTATTGGTCTGGTTAGCTCTTTCTATGTGGGATCAAACCCAAAGACATCCTTTATCTGTTTTGTAATCAGCCATAATCCTTCACTTTCTTCTTCAGATCCACTTCAGTCTGAGTTGTCGGTCATGATAACATCAGAGCACGTTTCCAGACTTGTGAAGTTATCGGGACGATCACAAAACCCTCAGTTATCGTACAACAGTGCGGCCGTCATCGGCAGACTGGAAATGACAGGTAATGTTCTGTGAAAGTATGACGACCTGATAGAAGTAAACAGATTGGTTTATGAAACGGTGTCTTCATACTCTTCATCCAGGAGAGACGCTCCAGCTGCTGAAGCCTCACTACGTCGCCATGTTGGAGTACCTGTCGGTGCTTCTCCAAAATAAAGATTTAAAGTTCCAGCAGCTTGGCTTAGTGACGATATCCAACCTCAAGACAGGTTTGTATTCGTTCTACCCTCGGGCGTCACTTTGTGTTGAAGTTCTTTTGGACTCTTTTGGACTCATGTGTTTTACTGTGTTCTAATCCTGGCTCCTTCTGGATGGTTTGCACTGTAGACACTCTGCATCCTTTTCTGGTCAATTTCTCTTTCATTGTTTTCTCCCTTTTTAGTCGTTTTGCATTTCTTTTTGGTCATTTTGCATCTCCTATTAGACTTTGTGTCTTTATGTTATATCCGGTCTCTTTTTGGTTGCTTTACGCTTTGGCAGACATTTTGCATCTCTCTTTGTTATTGTATTCCCTTTTCCTACTTCGGTCTTGTTTTGGCCTTTTTGGTAAACCGTTAAAGCTCCCAGGTCATGGCCATTTCTACTGATCATAATTCCATTGTTGAGGTCTACTAGAATAGATTTGAACTCACATTGTTTCTCATCCAGCGTCTCTGTAAAGTACACTGAACAAAAATATAAACGCAACACTTTTGTTTTTGCTCCCATTCTTCATGAGATGAACTCAAAGATCTAAAACATGTTCTATAAACACAAAATAACCATTTCTCTCAAATGTTGTTCTCAAATCTGAAAGAATCTGTGATAGTGAGCACTTCTCCTTTGCCGAGATAATCCATCCCACCTCACAGGTGTGGCATATCAAGATGCTGATTAGACAGCATGATTATTGCACAGGTGAGCCTTAGGCTGGCCACAATAAAAGGCCACTCTGAAACATGCAGTTTTGCTTTATTGGGGGGGTCTGGGGGGGTCCGAAAACCAAACAGTATCTCGTGTGAGGGGTAGGGTTAGGGTTAGGGGTAGGGTTAGGGTAATGTTGTGAATGGAGTGGCCCGTGGTGGTGGTGGGGTTATGGTATGGGCAGGCGTATGTTATGGACGACGAGCACAGGCCACTCGATTCACAACATTACCCTAACCCTACACCGACTCACAGCCTCGCCGCGTCCCGCCGTCTCAGGGAGGAGAAATCGGCGGAGCTGCAGCTGAGAAAAGATTGAGGGTGTGTGTGAGGAAGTCCGTGGATTGGTCCATTTGGACCAATCCACGGAGGGGTCGTTACGTCACTTGGTTCCCGGAAGAAACAAATGGAAAAAGAGAAATCTCCAGCGAGGCGTTCTGGGGCAGCACAGACAGGTCTTCTCTGTGTTAGAGTTTTACTCGCTACAGGGTGTACTTTGGGGTTTGTGACTCTGCAGAGCGTTACATGCAGAACAAGCTTCATAACACAAGAGGACGGGTACTAACCAGAAAAGCACGACATGGGACCTTTAATAATCAGTAGGCTAGGGTTTTCCCCTTTTCTCTGTTACTTTTTTAGACGAAGTAAATGTGTTTCTCCTACATTTTTAAATTGTCTGCTGTGCGAAACAACCTTTCTAAAAGCGTCCTCATTATTTAGTGAACATTTCTTGATCCATTTTAAACCGTAGTGGGGACAAGATCCACCAAAAGCAGCTCAAAGTACTGCAGCCATTCACACCATCTTATCATAGTAGATATCTTAACAAATGAATCACTACCAGGCCTTGAGATCCAGGAGGTTTGAGTCTTGTGTTTCCCTGCAGATGGAGACTTCTCCTCTCTGTTGTCTGGCGGCGAGGTGGAGGATCAGCTCCGGACGGTTCATGATCAGACGGAGGAAACCAGACGGCTGCTGCAGACGATCCAGCCTCTCGCTCCATCTCCTGTTCACCCTTTACAGCCTCCACACCAGTGGTTGCGTTAGACTTTTTCGTTGTTCGTCATTTTGACGGACAGGATCGTAACATTTCCGTCATAATCCATTATTACCCGTCATTTTATTTTTCATGTTTTAATGATGAGATGAGACATATTTAATATGTTTGGGTACTGAGCAGCAAATGCTCATTCATTCATGTTTTAATGATTCATACAGAACTTCTAAGGGCATGGAGAAACAAAAAGATGAACAGAGACACCGACCGTGTGGTCACTTTTCATGTCAACACGAACATGAATGATTTATTTGTTCCTGCACTGACAGACAGCAGAGGGGGCAGAGGCCGCTAAAAACACCGCCACCATTGTGCCTAAACAGGCAAATACGAACAATGCCATCGTTTGAAATGAGACAATTACAATCAGAATATGAACAAAACATTTACAAGAACAACTCAATTGACCTGCTGTAGCCTGGACGCTGATTTCTGCATCGCCGTGCACCCTCGGACAAATCCGTTACTCATCTTAGCTTCTCTACAGATGTCGCAGAACATTTTGCCATCTTCCCTCCTCAGCCACTTAAACTCTTGCTCCCATTGAACCCGGTACTCCCGCTTGAACTCCTTGCCACTTGCTTGCCCCTCTGCCGCTGGCTGAACGCTGTCAGTTTGAGTCTTACTGGCTTGTCCTTCATCCTCCACCGCATCAATCCCTCTTTTCACCTCGTTTATCCAAACCATCACATTACTGGGCTTATTAAAAAAGCTTCGGACGATCAGCTGCCGTGACATTTTGCGATTGCTAAAGCCGGTTAAACAGCGAGGTCAAAAGACAATAGTTACTTAATATACACACACTCGCCACCAACTGGACAGGGGTGAGAATGACTAAAGAATAGTTACAGACTACAGTAGATCGCCCTCAGTCGACCTGGCCACTAAGGATGTAATATAATGAGGGCCGCTGGTGGACATTTTGGCGCTGTTCCGAGTTGTGTTCTAATCCGTCAAAATGACGGACTGCTTTCAGATTTTTCCGTCATTGTTAGAAAAAATCCGTCATTGACGGAAAATATTGGGTTAACGCGACCTCTGACACACACACACACACACACACACACACACACACACACTGAGAGACGAGCACTGAGAGCAGCACTGAAGAAGAAGCAGCTTTTCTCCATGTTTCAAAGTGTTTATTAGTTTTTATGCTTACAGTCAACAACAAATGAAGTGAAAAACAAGAGAAGCGGCATAGTATCAACTCTTAACACGTGATAGTTACAAGCAATCGGATATTTAGGATTGGATACATTTGTTTTTTATATATGCTTTTCTTATAATAAACTCTCTTAAACTTCTACGCCTCCTAACGTTGCTTTGTAAAGCGAATGCGCGCGATATCAAACAGAGAAGACTGTTAGTGCAATAAAGGCTCCGTGCATCGAGTTCTCTAAAACAACACTCACTAAAACTGAAGTCTTTGGAAACTAAGTTCCTTAGCAGCTTTGAGATATGTGATTGCTATACGTCACAAAATCAACAGGTAGGAGAGGAATTTACACGGGTACAATTTAACTCTTGTGTGCTAACTTCATAGCACTAATCTAAAAGTGGAAAACTAAGGAAGGAAAAGTACTTGGACACATCAGGAATAAGCAAAAAGCATATGGCTAACATGATTGTAAGAAGAGCTATTCCTATTACTTCACACTCTCCATCGTCTCCACTGTCTACATGGTTATTACTGTATATGTTCTGCACTGAAAGGAAGCAGTAAAGAACTTGCCCAGTATTTGTGCCACTGGTTACACACACAGAAAAAGTGAAGCTGACGTCTCAGTGAGAGGCGAGGCTGGAATCGTGCATGCTCACGCTTACATTTCAGTGTGCAGAAACATGGCTGAGCTGCAGGAACTCACGGAGAAAACACAGCTCTCCAATCAAGTGTGTGAACGTCTGTGCAGCTGCTCAGATGACCTCTGCAGGGACACACACAGAAACATTATTTTCAAAGTTTCAGAGCAGCTTAAGAGATAAGAACATGTATGATCCATGTTGAGACTTTCCATTAGGGGGACATGCAGGGAAAGGAGAGGCTGTCCACACACCATGGAGCTTTATTACTTTGAACACTGTCAGGTGTTGTGTGACGAAGACTTGGTAAGATAACATTTCGCATTAATAATAACTTGGAAGAAAACGTACTGATATTTTGTGTCTTGTTTTGTCCCTATTTTAGTAGTTTAGCAATTTCTCTCCTTAGACTTTGTGTCTCTTTGAGGTTAAAACGTACTCGTTCCTTTGACAAGAGTTGTTAACTACGGAGGAGCATAAGGGTCACGTGTGAATATGTTGGTACGATCTGACCAATAGTGAACTTTTTGTATTAGTTCTGCGATTAAAGTCTTATAAAAATGAAATCACATGTTGCCCTAATCCTCTAATTAATGATGGTGTTGAAACAAATGGACAACTGTTTGAATCAAGTCGTTAGCGGACCGGTTGAGATGCAATTTGGATGGAATGAATCTGCCGTGACGCTGTCATTTACTCTCAATAAACCCTTGTTCAAGTTGGACATGTCCCTGGGGGTCTTCACTAAGTGTTATGGAGTCAGAACCAAAATACCCTGCAGACTGCAAGTGTCCTAGGATCTTGGTACATTGGATACACTGACATTACATGCTTATAGCCTAACGTTAGCCTTTTACTTCAAAAATCATAAAGATGTGGAGATCATCCTGCTGAACAGAACATGTCAGTATCATAAACATGCTTATTTTAAGAAACATTCCTAAATTAAATGGAAAAATCTCATTGCTTTTTGTAGAGGTAGCCCTTGCGACGCTTACTTCTGGGTCAGCCTACTAAAATACGTCATGCCTGCCCCACTCTACAGTGTTTGTCTCTTTAGTGGACATATTCCTCACCTCTCTGCCTCCTCTCTCTGCAGGTGCTCCTGCTCCTCTCTCTCTCGTTGTTGTCGCTCCTCTCTCTCTCGTTGTTGTCGCTCCTCTCTCTCGTTGTTGCCTCGCCTCTCTCCTCCTCTCAGCCAGGAGACGAGAGGCCTGCCCGGCGTCTGTGGTCCCGGCTGAGGGTCGACACGTGACTTCAGGAGGCTGGGGATCTGCAGGGAGAGGCTTTTGAGGAGGACCTGAAGAGAGAATAATATCACCTTTTGTAAGAGCCATTTAATAAAGTCATGTTTGGGTTCAAGTCGTGCCATTAGTGTGTTGTTGTCCTATTACCTAGGCACAGGTATTTAAGGTGTGTGTTGTCTCCGGATTGGGTGTGACTGACCCCGGAAGGGCATATGGTTTTTGACCGTCTTAGCGCATGTACAGTTGCAAGAAAAAGGATGTGAACCTGTTGGAATTACCTGGATTTCTGCATAAGTTGGTCATAAAATGTGTTCTGATCTTCATCTAAGTCACAACAATAGACAAACACAGTCTGCTTAAACTAATACCACACAAACAATATGTTTTCATGTTTTTATTGAACACACCATGTAAACATTCACAGTGCAGGGTGGAAAAAGTATGTGAACCCCGAGGCTAAAGACTTCTTCAAGAGCTACTTGGAGTCAGGAGTCAGCCAACCTGGAGTCCAATCAATGAGACGAGACGAGACGAGAGGTGTTGGTTAAAGCTGCCCTGCCCTATAAAAAATACACACCAGTTTTGAATGTGCTATTCTTAAGAAGCATTGCCAGATGTGAACATGCCTCGCACAAAAGAGCTCTCAGAAGACCTACAATTAAGAATTGTTGACTTGCATAAAGCTGGAAAGGGTTACAGAAGTATCTCTGAAAGCCTTGATGTTCATCAGTCCAGACAAAGTGTCTATACATGGAGAAAGTTCAGCACTGTTGCTACTCTCCCTAGGAGTGGCCGTCCTGTAAAGATGACTGCAAGAGCACAGCGCAGAATGCTCAATGAGGGGAAGAAGAATCCTAGAGTGTCAGCTAGTGTCACGGTTGAGTGAAGGAAGCAGGACCCAAATGCAGATAACTCTGATAAACCTTTATTTCAAGGATAATGAAACTAATACAGACAAAACAGAACACTCACCGGTGAACTCAGTCACCGACAAAAGACGAACCGACAAAGACAGACAGAAAAACCAGAACTTAAATACACACAAGACTAATCACACAAACAAGACACAGGTGAGGAGGTAGGAGAAAACACAGAGGCACCAGGTGAACACAATCGGGTAATCAGGGAGGGAAAACAGACAAAGAGCAACAGGCAGGAAACGGGGGTGAACAATTTACAAAATAAAACAGGAAACCTAAAGATAGAAAAAGACAAGACAAAACAACAACACAGACAGATCGTGACAGTACCCCCCCCCTCAAGGGACGGATCCCAGACGTCCCAAAACAAAACTAAAAAGTCCAAAACCTTAAGCAGGGTGGGTGGAGGGGGTCCGGAGGAGGGACGCATCACTAAGCCACCAGGGTGGGTGGAGGGGGTCTGGAGGACGGGCTTGGGCTGACAGCCCAGGGGCACGGCAGAGGACCAGGAAGGGGTCTCGGGCGGACGGCCCGGGAGCAAGACAGAGGACCAGGAAGGGGTCTCGGGCGGACGACCCGGGGGCAAGGCAGAGTCCAAAATGGGGACCATGGAGGGGCGAAGGCAGCGGCAGGAAGAGTCAGGGGGCCGGGCCCGAGGGCGAAGGCAACGGCAGGAAGAGTCAGGGGGCCGGGCTCGAGGGTGAAGACCGCGGCTCTCAGGGGGCCGGGCTCGAGGGCAAAGACTGCGGCAGGAAGAGTCAGGGGGCCGGGCTAGAGGACGAGGGCAGCGGCAGGAAGAGTCAGGGGGCCGGGCTAGAGGACGAGGGCAGCGGCAGGAAGAGTCAGGGGGCCGGGCTCGAGGGCGAAGACCACGGCTCACAGAGGGCTGGGCCCGTGGGCAAATACCGCGGCTCTCAGGGGGCCGGGCTCGAGGGCGAAGACTGCGGCAGGAAGAGTCGGGGGGCCGGGATCGCGGGCGAAGACCGCGGCTCTCAGGGGCCCGGGCTCGAGGGCGAAGACCAGAGAGCTCCGGAGGCCAGGCAGGAAGGCGCTGACGGGACAGTGCCGGGGACCGGGCAGGACCCGGTGTCGGAGCTGATGGGACAGGCCTCTGCAGGATCCCCCCACGGAAGAGGACCAGGACACGGGATTTGCAGGACCCCCGGCAGGAGAGCATCGGCGGGGCCCTCCAACGGCACAGGACATAGGATTGGCAGGACCCCCGGCAGGAGAGTAGACGGCGGGACCTCCAACGAGACAGGACAAAGGGTTGGCAGGACCCCCGGCAGGAGAGTAGTCGGTGGGGCCTCCAACAGCACAGGACAAAGGGTTGGCAGGACCCCCGGCAGGAGAGTAGTCGGTGGGACCTCCAACGAGACAGGACAAGGAGCTGGCAGGACCCCCCGGCAGGAGAGTAGTCGGCGGGGCCTCCAACGGCACAGGACAAAGGGTTGGCAGGACCCCCGGCAGGAGAGTAGACGGCGGGACCTCCAACGGGAC